TATTCAGTAAACACAAGCGATCTATGACTCCTAATTGGCATGAGGTGTCTCTTGAATACTTCACTAACAACTACATGGAGTGGTGTAGTCGTAAAATGAAGCGTCAACTGTTGACCCATGATGGGTGTATAACGGTGTATTGACGAAATGTAACAATAACGAGGAGAAAAGGTGACGAAATGATCGGGTGTACCATGATTTCTCTTTCGAGTGTCCCGCCGAGCCTGCTTGTTCTATCCGTTGTCTAATGCAGTACTCTTTGGAAGAGGGCGGTCGCGCAATATTGTGAATTCATTATATCAGGACTTAATTCATCCGCCACGAAACTGGGTTTGGTTATTTTATTACTAAGATTATGGACATTTGTGCGCACACATTTAAGGTATTTTAAGAATCACTCAATCTGCCCATATAAGTATTGGAAGTGTTATTTTTCAAGACCTATGACTCATCAATCGCTTTCACGACACTACATGAAAACTTTATCTGAAAGTTGGACTCACGGGGTTATCTCACTTATTGGCTTAGCTAAAGACACCCTTACCTAAAAACCCTCAGTCAAAAATCCATATCAGATCATCTCCAGGTACTCCAGGAGATGACCTGTCAATTTAGCTTGTATGCATCTCAATCTGTCGATCAACACCAAAATATGTCTTCCAGTCCCTCAGTTCTTGATATCCGATGTGACCGACTTAGAGGAGGTTTCAGATGACAATGTCGTTCTACACTGTATATCCATGTTATCTTTACATTCTTATTAAGGGGTTCGATTTACTGTCTATGATATTGACGCTACGGGTTTTCTGTATTTGTGTGCCGAGACATATAGTTAAGTTTCACTTTTTACCCATGGAAAGCTAACAGCTAAAGCCTGATAGGGATTTAAACCGATTTCTGTAGCGTTTCACAGGGTTTTCATTCGATTTCAGCATCAAGATTGTGGTTTCTCAGTTAGTTTTCAACTTCGGGTGTCAATTTAATTATCGGTTGGGAGTTAAAAAATGTTAGTGGAGTATGATGCAAAACATGTTTATTGCTAGACTGTTGCAGTTATCGATGACTTCGTCATAAATGATGAAGCCCACCACAACTTGGGGAGTTTTGGTAACTGACTGATCCGATGTCCAGAGCAGCCAAACCAATCCAGTGAGTTTTTCCTAAAACAAGAATAGCCTGAGCTTGATAAATCATTTTAGAAAGAAAAGTTTTCAAAAAAGGTCATATCGAATGCTCGTTGACCTATAACCTCATTCACTCTTGACAATTTTGTTGTAGCCAAACATTGTCTAGACACGATATTACGGAACAGTCTATCTGACCACTATCAAGCCGTTAGATTACCGCTTTATATGATAGTCGTGATAAGTTTTTACCGCTCGTGTATTTCGATAATAAACAGATTGTGGCGTACCTTCTCAGCTAGTGTGACGATAATCTCACTTCCCCGAGCAGATGAGTGCCTGGATTAATCACGTTGTATTTTCAAAACTCCAACTGTAGGAAATAAAACTACACATTCACGCCACATGAAGAAGATGAAAGATGTAGGTTTCGAGGGTCTAAAATGAAATTAATAAAGGAATATGTTCGTTAATGATGAGATTACAAAATTACATAAAAAGTAAAGTACCAGAATAAGTAGGGTATGCACAGACACATACGAACCAAAACAAAGTAAAACTTCACAGAGCTCTCCTAAACCACCATATCATGGCGGACTCAACGTTCAAATGGTTCAAATGGTTGTGGAGGGAATAGAAGAAGCTTTCGCTTAACAGGCTTCCGTGTCTAGTAGCAAGGGATCACCAATACATCCAGGCAGGAACCTAGGTATATTAACGATAAAACAGGAAAACGAAATTAGTAGATCATAGTAAAATACTATCCTTAGTCCTTAAGAATAGATCAAGTCGCCTCTTAAAGAACTACTGCGAAGTTGCTTGGACTAGCTCAGCTGGCGGCGAATCCCAGGGTTCGACAACTCTTAATCAGTAGAAGTTGTGCCTGCAGTCTGTTCTACTATGTTGTATCTCTAATTTCTGGGTGTTACCCCTTAGGTTAGTGTTGGGGCTAGGCTTAGGTAGGTGTTTAAGAGGATGTCCAGGAGTGTTAAAGATACTGTAAGCCATCAGAAGGTCACCTCTAAGACGATTATACTCTAATGGGTAAAGGTCGAGTGATTGAAGGCGTTCATCGTAAGGTTTAAATTTGAGTCCTCGAAATGATTTCGTGGCTCGCCGTTAATTGCGCTCCAGAGTGTCCATATCCTTTTGAAGTGTAGGAAGGAATACTATGTTTCTGTACTCTAAATGGGGACGAATGAAACTATTGAAGATTATGTGGAAAGTTCTCCCGTCATACTGACCAAAAATGCGCCTCAATGTTACCAGTGCAAGGTTTGCTCGAAAGGCATTTCTGTCACAGTTGGCGTAAGACTTTAAGTCGTAGGGCACCAGGACTACTAAATCTTTTTCGACTCGGGATACTACTAGAGAGTTTCCTAAGTTGTAACTGTAGTCTGCGACATGTCGCAGATGGACTACTTTACACTTCGAAGTGTTAAAGGTAAATCCGTTATCGTCTGCCTTACTTTGAAGTCTAGTCAGATCCTCCTGAACTTCCAGTATATCCTCTTAGTTGCGTATCTCTCGCCAAAGTTTCACGTCATCGGCGAAAAGTAATAAGTCTGACGATACCTGTTGAGGAAGATCATTTATATAAATCAGGAAGAGAAGAGGTCCTAGTACTGAGCCCTGGGGGACCCCACCAGAACATTTCATAGTCTGTGGTAACTTGAAGTTGATCCTGACCTTAAAATGCCGATTTTGCAGTTACAAAGTGAGCCAATCAATTAGAGGTGGTTTGATACCCAATTGTCTGGGCTTGTTGATAAGACATATAAGGTTAACCCTATCAAAAGCTTTAGAGAAACCAACGTAAATGATATCCACCTTCCCCTTGCGATCAACGATGCTTGTTCATCTGTCCACCGCAATCAGCAGGTTCGTCATACGGGAGTAACCCTTCCTGAAACCATGCTAGTGGGGTGAGAAGAAATTTCAGGACAGCAGATAGTCGTGTATACCATCGTGTATCAGGGACTCCATGATTTTTGAAGGTATAGAGAGAAGAGCCACCAGTCGGTAACTTGGAGCTTTGCTGCGTCGACCTCCTTTGTAGATTGGTGTGATATGAGCCAGCTTCTAAATATCCGGTAGTTTGCCTCGACTTGGCGAGTGTGAGGACATCACGCTAAGCGGTGTTGCCGAAAGTGAAGCTGCTTACCCCAGTATACCACAATGAACCATATCTGGACCAGGAGAAGTGTCTGTTCTTAGATGCTGCAGTTTTCGGAGCATCAAGTCAGCGCTCAGTTTCACTACGGAAAGTCCCGTGCAGTTTCAGATGAAGCTGTCATCGGTATAGTGGATGTGGGTCGGTTGAAATTTCCGCAAGTATTGCACAGCCAGAAGGTTAGCGGCGTCACTGTCGTTATCGGTTGGGGCGTTAGGACCTATCATTTGAGAAACTCCAGTTTTGGCTTGACGAAGAGAGGCCACATGACGGAACAAGCTTTTCGGATTGGAGACAAATTTATCCATAAGCTTTATCTGGTACTGAAGTCTGTCTTCTCTTATAGCCTTCGTGCATACATTCCTTATATGTTTGTATTGCCTGTACTCGCCGTTGTTGTCGGTTCGTTTGTATTCTGCCCGACAGTGTCTTTTGCGGCTTAACAAACGAAGAGTGCGGTTCTTGATGATTGTAGGATGTGTGGGGCTTTTGGGGACCGTTTGAGGAACTGACTGCTTTGTAGCACATAAGAGCGTGTGCAGTAAGAAGTCCCAATGAGCATCCGCATCAAGTTGAGGGTGAACATCCCAATCCACCTGTTGTAGATAGTCCTGTAGAGCTGACACATTCAACCGTTTGGAATTCCAGTGCCTGTTGTTGTTGGGATATCTTAGCTCAGATTTGCTGACAAAACTGAAGGCTATAACGGCGTGATCACTTTTCCCCGGGGGAGCCAGAATTGAGAGGTTGTCGACTAGAAATTCTTCGTTTGTAAAAACACAGTCGAAGCGCAAAGGTGTCTGACCCTTCCTCCAACGAGTAGCCACTTTCAAATTTTCGTATAATCTCAGATCCTCAATGAGGTTGAAGAACCGAGCTTCGATTGAATTTTCATCTCCAATATACGTATGTTCCACGAAGTTGACTCCAGGGAGGTTGAAGTCCCCTAGAATCAGGATATGAGTGAGACCGAGACGCGTGGAGCGGGATAGTCCTTCCAGCATACGAATGTCATACTCGATGTCGGTAGTGGGCTTCTTATATATGACTCCGACTAGTCACTTCGAAGTAGTAGATGATCTTACAAAGCACCATATGGATTCCTCCAGATTATTAAACTCATGATTGTGAACTTGGTGTGCCTCCAAGCCAGATCGTATATATACGTCTACTTCACCCCCAACTCCTGTATTTTTGTCGTTGCGAAACAAAGACATCCCAGGTATTGCCAGCTCCTGGTCCGAAAACTGAGAAGATGTCCAGGTTTCAGATATTCCTATCAAATGAACCTTATTAGCATTGCTAAGTTTACGTAGCTCATCCATTTTGTTCGGTAGACTCGCGGCGTTCATGTACAAGCAGTTAATGCTTTCGAGTTGAAACGTGTGAGCTTCTTCCTGTTTGTCTGTGAGAACCTTACGTGAGTGGACAGGAAGCCTACCTATATAACGTTTGCCGAATTGGTAGGCCCTGTCCTTTACACGTTTTTTTATCTTGAAGACAGTCCACAAGTGGAATGGTCAGCTCCAGCTTGCCTTTGTTCCTGATCCTGGCGTTGAAGATGCATCGAATAGGACGATAGAACAATACCATAGTTTTTGGGTATATCACTTTTCGTTTGTACAAAACAATCTGCCTCAATGAAAGATTAAAAAGTTAACACATGCTCATTAGTCTACTTTATGATCATGAGTGCAATTGAAACTACTTGAACTAATCTTATCTTGCCTTAAGAAGTTGGAATCTGAGTGACCTTGTCGTTTTTGATCGGAAGTTGGACGCGTCACTATGGCTGTTGGTTGCCTTATAATTTCTAAAATAATGTCTTTTTCATTACAGGACGACATTTTAGACTTTGAAAGTAAGAAAAAGAAGAAATCAAAGCCTCTTGTGCATGATTTCAAAGATGAACCCGATAATCTGGGAAACCAAGATATTTTGGACTTCGGTTCAAAGAAGAAAAAAAAAGACAAACTCTTAAGCCTGGATGACGTGGGTAACAAAGAGGACGTAAGTTATGTCCCCATATACTTCATTTTACAGTCACTTCAGGAACCGGAATTTCCTAGGAAGGACCCAACAGAAAACGGCGTTAAGCAACTTACTGAAAAACTAACAGAAGAGCTCAATTTCTCAGATAAAAAGAAAAAAAAGAAATTCAAACCGATTGAAGTTGATGAAAATGGGGTTTGCGAGCCGAACAATACATCTGAACTTATCGTCAGGGATTCATCGGGATATGATTATGAAACGGTAAGTGTCTACTTCTTACCGATCTGAATGTGAGTTTGGTACCTTATGAAAATGATGTCAACTCATTTATGTTTTTTCGCGAAGTGACACCATTGAATTGCTTAAAAAATAGTGCGGACGTAGGTTTTTCTGTAAGTTCGCCCATTTTATGAGTGGTAGATCTGTCGCCTACTAAAAAACCCCGTTTCTAACTGGCTTGTAGGCATAACCTCAATATGACCATCTTGCATCAAGACGGTAACGTAGTACGTCTAACTTTTGGAGCTTGTAGACCATAGCAGTATATGGCTTTTGCGTATATTGGGATTTGTAGACCTCTAATTCTTCTTGGGATATTAAGTTTCGACAACTTTCCCACTTAGAGAACATTCGAAATTGCTTAGCGGTCCGTACCGGACGGAAAATTCATAGTAGAGTAACTGAAACAAATGACCCTGATAAACATTATTGAGTGGTAATAACAAGTCTCTGTCTCCTTAAAGTGATGTGGACAGTTTTAGTGGGTTGACCGGTTAAAACTGGCATGAGAGTGTAGCAATTGATCTATGTGTAGACATCTGGTGAAAGTCAAAGAATAAAGTAACGGATCCACTCGCATGATTTTGGGGTACGGATCGTGCCATGATGACACTGCAAAGTTACCTAAACTATTGTTAACAAAGATACTTTTATCTAGGGATGGAATGCGATTCTTAACGCATTTTATTAGACCATTTCAATTACCTTAAAATATGCACTGCATTTTTAATGCTTAGTGTTTCTAGTGTGTATGTTATTTACATCTCAGACAATAGACCTCAATAGTGATTGTTTGGATTTTCTGGTACTATTCTCTGTATCTCAGACTTTTCTGGCAGGACTTACTCTGTTTTGTCTTATGTTGGACGACTGACGGTTTTTATTGATTTATCTTAACAGGACCAGCCTTTTTCGCACCTTTCTGGAATACCTGTTAAATGGAAACCGAATAGTAGTGATCCATTATATTCTCCATATAAAAAAAACCAGCTTGTAATATATGCAGAGAATAAGCTGTAAAATAGCTGGCGTAACAGGTTCTCACATTCGAGATTGAGTCAGGATTGTTACTATCACAGTGGTTTCCGCTGCCACTTTTACATTCAAATGATTGTGTTATGGTGGTATTTCTCAAGCTGTGTCTATGTGGTTTGTGAACTAAATGTCTAGCGACAATAACCGTTATACGCATTTTCATCCGCATATTTGATTCATGTCTAAAGTCAAACAGACTTTGTTTTGTATATTTGTTTGCATTAGCATGGTACTTCTGTCATTTAAAGAAAACTTTTAGCCATAAAGTCATCGTTCTATTTTCCCACAATTTCTGCTTGTGTTTAATATTTTACGTAATCATGCCTCGTCAAACAATCAGGAAGACTAAATTTTAACTTCGGGCTCGAATAATCTCTTAGTCATGCAAAGCAATTTTGCTGTCGTATTTAAGTTAGTGAGTTAATATACAAGTGTGATTGACCGTTTACTATGATTACGATTCATCAATTTTAGCGATTGGGACGTATTACTTATGTTACATCACCGCCTATGTCAATTTAGACAACTTTCTACATCAACTTTGTAGTTTAAAGGACTTTCTATACTCAAGTCTCATACTCGAATCCCGCAGCATATACATTAACATAAACAATCTACACAAAAAGTTCAAAACTAACTATACGAACAAGTGCTTGAGGTGAGACTATAATTTATGGACGACCTTTGAGCTAAGCTAGGCTGACCTTGAGTGTCCACCTAATATCTATGACCAAATGAGGGTTCTAAACCTGTGTGCGGAATTAGGATTATGTTTTACAGTTAGTGATAAACGTTAGGAATTAGATTTCGGATTTTCATCACGAACTGACATCAGCTATAATGCCAAAACTGTTTAACCAAATTGGATGAGTGAATTTCGCACCAATATCCGGGGCCTATTATCATATACTTTATTGGTTCGTCCATAAATTCTAGTCTCGCTGTGCTTGGTTACTGAGTCAAATTAAACTACATTGTTTCTCTACCAGGTCCCGGGTTACATTCTTTTTTAAAATCCACTTATATTTGGAAAATATTCCAACAATCACGTTTCTACCCAGTATTTTTGTATTTAATGGATTAAATGAATATTATGTTTTATTTTTAAAGTTAGTGTTTATATTTGTCAAGCGATTTATTTAAAACTGAATGAATAAAGCAATCGTCGTCCATATTTTTAAAAATAGTCTCCGTAGAGTCTGGACCGGACCGTCGCTGCTAAATTGACGTGGTAGCTGGGCCTGCTTATCATGCTAACTCACGCAAACTATATTGGATGAAACACGTTCCTTTAGGTCCTACTGTCCCAGCCAGATTGGTTGGAGAGCGGTCAGACTAAAAGCAAGTCCGAGGGTGAAGTACTGTAAAAAGGTGTGACATCGATAAGTTGTTCCCCTCAGACAACCAGCGTCTTCAGCAATCCTGTCTTCCCACAACACAAGGAAGGGGTTAGAAAAGACTGACCCTAAAAATGTCACACCTCACCTTACCCCACGGATTTCCTCTTCCGATAGTAAGACCTTTTAAAGTGCAGAGCTAACTCATCAAAGGCTTTCCATAAAAAAGGCCATGGGCGACCAACTTCAAGCAGTTATTTCTCGGGCTCTGTAGTCACGCTCCCAGATTGCTAGAACTGCCACTACCAGCATTTCCACTGGTTGCAGCTCGGTTGAAGTTAAAGATGAACTTTATGGCAGACTATCCAGCCTCCTTCAAATAGCTAAACGCCCTTATGAAGTAATTGTGGCAGGTAATTTTAATGTTCATTTAGGTAAAGGAAACCGAACCGAAAGGCACTTAGGCGGGTCTTTCTGTGCTGCGGCTCAGCGAACAAATAATGGCGACCATGCGTTGCAACTATGCTCAACTAAATGTTTATTTCTAGCAAGCACCATCTTTAAGCAGTAGGAGAAACATCGTATGACATGGCGACTTCATCAATCAACTCACCGATGGACTCAAATAAATCACATTACCATTAGCCATCATTGAAGGGGTGTATCGAGGACTTTTGCTCATTATGGATCACATGTCTAGACTCAGATCATGATCTAATACGAGCGCGTATTTGTGTACATCTTACTGGACGTAAAAAAGCCACAGCAAGAAAACCCCTTAGAATTCAACTTAATGATAGAAAAATGTTAGGAATATATCTCAGAAACAACGAGAGGAGCTAGTCAACCGTTAGAATTCTATCCACCCTGAGGTAGCTTAGTTTGATGTCCAAAAAGCTGTGGAAACAAGTAATGTTCACTAGTAACTTAAACCAAAACGTTAGGAAAAATCAGCGGGATCTACAGAACTGATAAAAGCTCAAAAACTCTTCCCGTCTGGCTTCGATGACAATGAAAAGTGGAGGCAGCTAAAACGTAGGCTGATAAAAAGCCTACGTAATGATTATGAGCAGTTGTGGGTAACGACAGCAGAAGAGATGGAAAAGGCAGTAGCGATAGGTAAAAGTAGACAATTGGTATAGACTACCTGGATAGGGTCCGCGTGATTATCGTAACCATTGGTTAGAGACTTTGAATGACATGGCTCAGGCGCATCCGCTCCTCATCTTTCCCCAAGTCCTGAGATTTTGAACTCCTCATAACATCTTGTTTTTATTTCGCTAATTTATATTTTCTGGAGTCGTATCCTCGATGCCTAATCTTTGCTACTACCACTGCTACTGCCTATATTATTCTGGGTTTCGGCCTGGCATCTCTCTATGCTAATCGGGTATGGCAACTCGAACCGATGTACATACGTACAGGTATGGGATAACTATCGAGATGTATGCTGTACGAATGTCATTCCAGTGACTCACACTACGTACTATTTGCTGATGCCGGGATTAATGGACGGAAGTGGAGGTGGTCAGTTTAATGCATCTCTATAAAGTGGAAGATTCATGCATATGATCTGACACCTTTTGCTGCACCAGAACTCCTTGGTTGGGGCATTTTCCTTAGAGTTATTATAAGTTGTGATGTAAGTGTCCAGAAATGGAAAGAGCTTTTGTGTTCGGATCTTGTCGAAATGAATAGTTGCACATATACAGATTCTCTGTACGAATGTTGTTGGTCGTTCCAGACTGGTTTTCATTTACATATTACGTTAAAATATAACCATACCCGGCCATGTACGTTATGAACATTGAAGAGTGCTATAATAATATGAAATAATCTTCGCTCATGTTTAAAAATAATCTTTTGTGACTTTTTGCAGATGAACTATCATTATTTCATCGGTGCATGTTTTGCTGCTCTTTTAAAAATTCTAATAGCTGTTAACACGAGTTTTTGCTCAGCTTGGTGATTTGAATCCTGAACTTGTATCAGATCAGAAAAGAAAGCTCGTAATGGTTCCCCCTCAAATGGCTCGTGTTGGAACCAAAAAGACTCTTTTTGTAAATTTTTCAACTATCTGTCGTTCTTTAATGAGAGATCAGTCTCATCTCACAACATACATACTAACTGAATTGGGTACTCAAGGTTCTGTGGATGCTAACGGTGCTTTACTTATTCGTGGACGATATACAAGTAAACATATGGAACCTGTGCTGAGAAACTACTGTAGTAAGTGTCATGATCTCTAATTTTTAAAATTGATGTCATGATTTTTATTGATAATAGTCAGTCAGCTGCAACGTAGGACCAGGCGCATATATGCATCGGTCCAAGTTGCCATACCGCATCAGAACAACAGGATGAACACCGGATTCATAGAAGTAGTTAATCCAGTGGTGGTCATATATAGAATAAAGATTGCATATAAGGAGATAGTACAGGAAGAAAGAATAATAATAGAAGTACGTCTTAGTTATAGAATCTCGGCCCTATGATTTTTGTAAATCTTCGACTGTAGATAACTGAAATGTGTGTGAGCTTGTCTAAAATAATTTCTATAATCTCCGGTTCTTCATTATTAAGCAGTTAAGTAAATCCATTCTTATGTTCTGTTAATATGTCGTCGATTATTTTTAGATTATCCCAGGTTCTGCATCGTTAAGTTATACAAATCGTTGATTTACGTAATATCATGATGATTTGATTTTACTGTTCTTGATACTTTAGTTATGTGAAGAGATAAACTGGTCATTGTCATAAACAACATCTGACAACTCCAAAAAGAAGGATTTTTTGTTCGAGAATTGAACGCTAGCAGTGACATGATAGTGTACAAAATGTTGGTTTCGTTTTTACCTTGAACCCGGTGTTGAATCAGACTGAAAAGCAGTCCCTCTTAGTTCAGAATATTTTACATTTGTATATTATTTAGATATTTTTTGTGGAATTAGAAGTCGATAGGTTAAGTTGTTCTTCTCATCGTTTTCTACTGAACTCGATATAAGAACCTAAAACAAAGAAACTCTTGATGTATAAACTACGTAAAGTGGAGCAATGCTACAGGCAGTAAAGGCAGTAGTAAAAGTCACAAACGACAAAATGACTACGCAAACACAACACAACAAGAAAGACTAATTCATTTTACGTCCCTGATAACCTCTCAATACACTAAGTTATGTTAGGCACCATCCCCCAAATATCGGTCCATACGCAAAGTTACTCATCTTGTCTCACTAAACGCCAGAGATGAGGCAGCACTGACCGATTGGATTCAAATCAACAGTCAGTCATGTGCTGTTAGATTAGAAGATTGCATATAAGGAGATAGTACAGGAAGAAAGAATAATAATAGAAGTACGTCTTAGTTATAGAATCTCGGCCCTATGATTTTTGTAAATCTTCGACTGTAGATAACTGAAATGTGTGTGAGCTTGTCTAAAATAATTTCTATAATCTCCGGTTCTTCATTATTAAGCAGTTAAGTAAATCCATTCTTATGTTCTGTTAATATGTCGTCGATTATTTTTAGATTATCCCAGGTTCTGCATCGTTAAGTTATACAAATCGTTGATTTACGTAATATCATGATGATTTGATTTTACTGTTCTTGATACTTTAGTTATGTGAAGAGATAAACTGGTCATTGTCATAAACAACATCTGACAACTCCAAAAAGAAGGATTTTTTGTTCGAGAATTGAACGCTAGCAGTGACATGATAGTGTACAAAATGTTGGTTTCGTTTTTACCTTGAACCCGGTGTTGAATCAGACTGAAAAGCAGTCCCTCTTAGTTCAGAATATTTTACATTTGTATATTATTTAGATATTTTTTGTGGAATTAGAAGTCGATAGGTTAAGTTGTTCTTCTCATCGTTTTCTACTGAACTCGATATAAGAACCTAAAACAAAGAAACTCTTGATGTATAAACTACGTAAAGTGGAGCAATGCTACAGGCAGTAAAGGCAGTAGTAAAAGTCACAAACGACAAAATGACTACGCAAACACAACACAACAAGAAAGACTAATTCATTTTACGTCCCTGATAACCTCTCAATACACTAAGTTATGTTAGGCACCATCCCCCAAATATCGGTCCATACGCAAAGTTACTCATCTTGTCTCACTAAACGCCAGAGATGAGGCAGCACTGACCGATTGGATTCAAATCAACAGTCAGTCATGTGCTGTTAGATTAGAAAGCTCCATCACAACGATGTCTTTTCTTCATCGCCTACGCATCGAAAAATTGCATCCCGGATGCGATCAAGCATGAGTTTTACCACCAGTTAATTGTTCTTCTACAAAACGTGCGTTCGACAAGTATTTTAGTACTAGCCGCAGATTTGAATGCGCAGGTCGAGGGTCTAGGCACAGAGAAAATTCGTTTGGGTGGCCGATGAAGACCTGTTAGTCTCAAGCCAGGTAACGGTGACCGTCTACCGCAACTTGTTGCAGACTACAACCTGTTTCTGGCTAGCACTAACTATCGCGACAGTCATCACCAATGTGCTACCTGGCATCCTCCCTCTGTATGTAAAATCTGGACTCAGATTGATCACATTACTATCAGCGTGGTTGTGTGCAGGACTGCCTCTCCTTTTGGGGTATTTATTTGGACTCGGATCACGCTGTTATTTTCGCTAATCTTATCTTACGTGTTAGGGGTAAAAAAATCTATCTGCGTAAACGGATCGATGTCAGCAAATCGGTTGCAACTTCTGTTGCAACTAAATATCAAACCGAGATAGGTTCAAGGCTGGCTGTCTATCAATCTACTGTTATAATTTCTCTTATTACGACCCAGCCATTCCTATTGCTTAGTATTCTTGAACGCCAATCCACTCGATAAGTCCCCAAATCAGCGCAGTTGAACAGGAACGAAATTATGCTCTGAGTAACGAGGGCAGATGGAAGTAAGAAGCGTAATAAGAGATACGTTTGATCTGTAACCTGGAGAAAGACTTCAACCCTAAGCATGTGGATGATACTTGTGAAACTTGGCCTCTCCGAGTTCAAGATGTTAGACGATTCTGTGTTTGATCAGCGTTGTCGCCGAAGGGTTACCGACATCCAGTGGCTACACCATGTTAGCAATACAGAGGTTCAGCATCGTGTGCTCGGGCACAGCGACGATAATTTAATTAGTGTCACTATCGTGAAACATCGACTTCGGTGGCTCGGAAATGTACTACGAACGTCGTCTATATACAGTATATTTCCCTTAATATTTTGATCATTTCGTTATTGTAAATTGCTGCGACGAATTCGTGTTGGAATTATACTTCATGTTTATTATTTAGTACAACTCTGGATTTTAGAATTCATCTTGTCCACTCATTGAAACTTTCACTCAGAAATTCGTATATTTTGAGATCATTAAAGCAAATAAACCTAGACATGCTATTGAATAACACAATCACAATGCAAGTTATCAACTTAACAATATGACTATTTATTGGTGTTTTGAAAATGTTCACAAAGTAGCCAGTTATTATCTTCAGTGAACTGATTCATTTCGTTCGTTACAGTCAACTTCACGTTTTCGTTTTAAGGAGATATGCTTTGCTATAGCATTCGGTCATCAAACCTTCCTTACTTACATTTATTATTCATAGCATATTCTTGCTTCTATTTAATTTTTTATTCAGGAACTTACGTGTTGTGTGGTACCTGCCAGTCTTCTGAAACAGACCTATGCAAAGACTCGAGACTTCTTTTCCTCCACTGTCGGCGATGTGGGTCTCGTTTCACCGTAAAAACAGTGACTTCCGGATTCCAAGCACTAACAGGGAAACGTGCTGCTTTGCGGGCAAAAACGCAATGATGATACGCTAGCTGTTCCGGGTTTTTTTACTTCGTCGACCTAAAGCACAAATTATCGAAATAAAACGCTATCTTATTTCCAAAAGTATTCTTTCTGTCGTACAATATGCGAAAAAATTTTATTTACGCAACTCAGTCAGTCAGTAACAACGTGAAACTTCGTACGTACGTACATCAGTTCGAGTTGCCATACCACATTAGCACAGAGATTCAGTTATCGATTCAAATCCCATAGTGGTAGAGGTACTGAAAGTATAAGTAGAGATAGGGGACATTAAGGTTTGATGATGTTATTAAAGGAGTATAGTCCAGTGGAATAAATTGAGAAAGAAAATAAAGGACATGGAGAATTCAGAAGATTAGAGTTTGAGAGAACACAAAGAGTGGATGCACCTGCGCCATTGCAAACGATTTTGAGCCATGTCATTCAAGGTCTCTAACCATCGGTTGCTATCGTCTCGCGGTCCCCAACCAGGTAGTCTACACCTACCCACATGGCTCAGTCCACTTGTCAGTGACTTCATGGATTTGTGCCATGTTTTGGTCTGGCCGCCCCTAGCTTTCTTCCAACCTACTCCTACACCATAAAACATCGCACGTCGAAGCAGCCGGTGGTCGGGCATGCGCAACACATGTCCGAGCCATCTCAACTGATGAAGTTTCACTACTTCCTCAATTGATTTGCCATCCTTACCTAGTACCCGTTTCCTAACAACTGAGTTACTTACTCGGTGGTCCCGCAACTACTAATTAGTTTTAGCAAGATTCCTAAATTGTACTAATATGAACGCCTTATACTTGAGGACGTACATATAGAATCTCAGGTGTTATATTTCTAAACATTTGTTATGATTACCTTTGAGGGTGTTGGTAGGTAGATTTAATTTTAAACAAATAATTAGAGATTTATTGCACTAATATCTATAACAGTATAAAGTTGTGTTGGCTGAGTGACTAATTAAGAAACGAAACTTGTGTCTAAGCTAACAGATCTATGCTATGAGTGGAATCCCCATAGTTGTGAGATCTTCAGTCTGGTTGGATACGAGTGACGTCCCAACTTAATTCCCGTATCTTGGAGTTAGGAGTTTGTTTCTATTACGGCGAAGTTGATGTAAAAAACGACCACGTTTAAAGGCCTCCAATGTCACTGGGTTGTTTAGTTTCCAATGATTTGAGACTCCATCTCAAAGTGAAGACCTCCTCCGAACAATTCTGTTCGAAATCTGTGCAACGATCTGGAAATAACGTGTTCGCTTCATGTTGGGTGACGTAAGTTAACCCATTTAGGGCTTACTTCCAAGCGATTAGCATCGATCGTAAAATACTATTTAGTCCATACATCCTATGCACTTATCCCAAAATGCTAGGTAGTGTTTCAGTTTGCATAAGCCAAGAGTACACTGCACCAGTATCACTCCATAACATCTAGCGTAGTACTGTCATACATCAATCGTTATTGAGTCGTTAAATGTTTGACCCGCCCCGTTGCTGAGGATCGACTGCATTGGGACCAGCATGTGATGTATGCACACCGTGACTGAGTGCCTCGTCTCCGTCCATAGGCAAAAGTTATTTCAACAGAGGCTGCTCGAATCTAGTCCTGAGTATAAACAGTGGGAGAATGTAAACTTCTGCATATATTATCGTGCTCCTTGCACAGTGTTGCACAGACGAATCAGAAGTACAATGCGTCTTTGTCCAAAGAGATAGGTATTAAGATTAAACTTTATTGTGAATCTCAATAGTCGAATGCAAGTACGTTCATCTGGGAGTTTAAAACAGGTTCAGTATACCTAAAATTGTCATAACATTGTAGTACATTCAGCTTCACAGATAGTTAATGGAATAAACAAATTTAGGAGCTAACAAAATGCGTCCATTTATCTTGTATTTAGGAGTGTTCATTCCAATTTGTGGCACTTTCTTAGTAGGTGGACACCTATCATTTTACACGTCACAAACAGTGAAACTGGCTTACTAGAATCTTATATCGCTTCCAAAGAATTTGTGATGCTACTTTTGTAAATAAAGTACGGTAGTGCAAGAGGGTATAGCTTCATCACGCAGGATTAGATCGATCGGTTTCAATAACGTGATCTAATTACCTTGAGGTTAGCTCTAATGTAGTTTTTCATCAAGAAATATGTTTGATTGAGTGTTGTACTTCCATGTTTTGCTGATGGTCTACAAACACCCTCGAGGCTACTTTGACGTGAAATCCATGGATATCGTTTTAAGAAAGTAACCCGAGTACCTAACCGCTGGAACTTTAACATCTAGAAACAGATTCACCTATAGAAAACTGAATAGGGCCTGACTCATTATATTCATAAAGGAAACGAGTGCGAACTCTGACAAACTACAAGTGTGATCACCGACAACTTATTACGATTAGGAGCTTGGAGACAGAAACGATGCATTCTTGAGATATTACGCCACCTATCACCGAATAAACTCCGTCTGTAGCTCTTCTAAAATTACTGATGGTCCCAAGCCCTGGTAGAAGAGGAGTGTTAGGCGTGGGGTCGGCTACCCCAAGCAGATTAAATTATGCCCTCTGAGTTGAAGGAAGAATTATGAGGCCTCACGATAAAAGCCGAGATTCCTCGGAACTCACGAGGCTGATGCCCCTTCTAACAACCAGAGCAACAATTTTTATGGGTACATGGAACGTCCGGAAAACGTGGGAGACCTGGAGGACCAGTCAAATAGCAACAGAAATGAGGAGATACAACTTGGCAGTATGCGGAATCAGCAAAGCCCAATGGACCCAAGCTGGACGGAAAAGTTTAGATACGAGAGAGATGATGCTGTTCTCCGGTCACGAAGAAATAAATGCTCCACACAATCAGGGAGTTGCTCTTAGGCTGTCTAAAGAAGCACGAAATGCATTTATAGGATGAGAATCTCACGGAGCCAGGACCATCAAAGCATTCTTCAAGAAAAAAAGAAATCACAACAAATGTTACTCAGAAGAAACTACTACGGAGATTAGTTGGAAAGGGATCAGAGAAGCTCTAACTTCGACTTGTCAGGTGCCGGGCTGCAAGAAGTATCATCATATGGAACGATTCTCTATCAAAACCCTGGACGAAATTCAAAAAAGATAGCGATTGAGAACAGCCGAATAAAGACAGAGAAAGTCAGGAAACAAGCAAGTGTAGAGGAGCATTAGGGCCGATAAGCAGAAATATGTGGAACACCTAGCAACGACGGTGGAAAAAGCTGCAACGGGAGGAAATATGAAACAACGAAGAAAATGGCAGCAAAGTATAGTAAACCAGAGACCAGTCAAGGACGAAGAAGGCAAAACAATCACCGAGATTCAAGGACAGAGGAACAGACGGGTGCAACACTTCAAGGAACTCTTGAATAAGCCAGCCCCATTGAAACGGTACACACCGATCTTCCTATATATGTTACTCCATCAAAGATCGAAGTCAGCATGGATGTCAGACAAACCAAGAGTAGGAAAGCAGCAGAACCTGACAATATACCAGCCGAAGCACTAAAGTCAGACAGATGTAACTGCAAGTATGCTTCATGTTCTATTCAAAAAAATTAGAAAGAACAAGTGCCGATGGACTGGAGAGAAGGGCAACTCATCGACATACCAAAAAAACGAGATGAGTAAATATGAGAAATATAGGACAATCACGCTACCATCACTACCAAAAACAATTTCCGAAAGTGTTGCTAAACCGGATAAGGATTCCGTAGACCCCCAGCTTCAAGACCAACAGGCCAGATTTCGTAAAGATCGGTCATGCACAGATCAAATCGCAACACTACAGCTAACCGACGCATTCCAGATGAGGACCGGAGTCAATCAACGTAGGTAAAAAAAACAATGTACCAGCAGCCTCCGGATCAGTAGGCCTCAACATACACAAGGGTAATGGCAAGAACCTCAAGCACAACACAGAAGACATCAACACAATCTCATTCGGTTGAGAAGCTCTAGGTCAGATGGAATCTTTCCCGTACCTGGAAAGCATCATTGGTGAACGTATAGAATCGGATGCTGACGTAAAGGCGAGGATCGGCAAAGCAAAGGCTGCATTCCTACAGTTCAGGAACACATGGAACTCAAAACAACTATCAGCGAATATGGAAGTCAGAATCTTCAATACGGACGTCAAGATAGTCCTATTGTATGAAGCTGAAACGCAGAGAACTACTACAACCATCATCAAGAAGCTACAAGTATTTATTAACAGTTGTCTACTCGAGATACTCCGTGTCTGTCGGTCTACTGTGAGAGGACAAACCAGATTCCAGTTGAAGAGGAAATCAGGAAAAGATGTCGGAAATGGGTAGGATATACATTACGGAAATCACCAAATTGCGTCATGAGGTGGGTGCTAACTCTGAATTGTGAAGGGAAACTGGAAGGCCAAAGAATACATTGCGCCGAGAATCGGAAGCAGACATGAAAAGGATGAACAGCAACTGGAGAGGATTGACCAGGACAGGATTTGATGGAGAATGTTAATGGACAGACTTAAGTAAATCTCATCGAATCCTAATATCAAACTAGCCTTTCAGGATATAAACACGCACCTACTGCAACGTCACAAGGTGTCTATTCGCATATTAGATTTCACCGATGCTAAATTCCTTAAGTATACTTAGGAAAGACCAGTCTTTCAGTGGGTGCATTGGAGTCTCCTTCTGATAGCGGAACTTCACAAAAACTATCTACCGGACCAATAAATCTCTATCATCTCAAAAGCATACTGGGGTATTCGGTTGAGCTTCAGAAACGAACATGGCTAAACTAATTCTACTGAAAACACCTTGCCATTCTAACAAAGTTAGGATGGTCATTCTCTCAGTGATACCTGGTTCAAGTATATTGGTGACTTTCTATGAACGCAGCTATTACCAATGCGGTATATTGTAATATCCATGTTATTTAAATCAAAATGAGTGCAGCCGAGAGACCACATTAGGATCCTATAATAGGTTTTTGCTTAGCCCTAACTGAAATTGCAAAGATATTACTTCTCACACTGAGATAATCAAATTAACACTTTTCATGGCTTTTGGTAGAGATATTTCATAAATTTGAACACTC